TTTAACATTTCAGAATCTCAAATTAATTTAATCAAGAACAGTGTAAGGAAAGGAATAGGATTGTTCAGCCTGGAAGGGAGAATACTAAGGGGAAATCATGGAGAAGCTGAAGAGGGTACAATAATTGTTTATTGCTTCTTTTACTATTAAGCATGTAGCATGGAGCTCCTAGTGACATTTCCAATGTAAATACTCTCCCCACCCCCAACTGGGTTATTCATGAAATTTATAGCTAAACTGTGCAGCTCTGACTACTTCCCTCCTCTTTTTTCCTTACTAATGTGGCTTGCAGGACTGGTAAAAATATCCTTGTTTCTCAGTTGTGTAAAGATAAGTCTTTCACTGAGCAATAAAAGAGATAGCAACTGAGTCTTTTACTTAAAAAAAAAAAAAAGTAAAAAAAAGAAAAAGAAAAAAAAAAGAACACACCGAAAAAATGTAGTTAACTGTAGGTAAAACAACTGAGGAAAGAAAGAAAAAGAAGCTTCTTAGCTGAAAACCAGCGAAGAAAATATATTACCAAAATAACTTGTTGCTTGTGTTCTCTGTTGGGATTGACATTTGGCTTCATTCTTTTTCACAACTATACATGCACATATATATCAATTAACACGTATACAGTCATGTTTCTTTCTTTGAGATGCCCTCCTCTTCACCCCACTCTAATCGGGGAAATAGTGCCTCTCATTTCTCAAGCTCATTTTTATATTGAAGAAGGTTAAAAGGTCTAAGAAAGTCTTGGCATCATGGTGTTCACTTACTCTCTGAATACAGCATTAAAACCCTGATATAGTATAAAGATCTCCATGGTCACAGTTTTCCCTGTTCTTGAATTGCTTATGGAGGGCTTTGGAAAGATTGGAATTGGAGGCTATCACAATTTTTCACCTGTGCCCATAAAGAAGCCTAAATCGTCACTGTAAAAATAATGTGACCAACTCTGTGCCAAGGACATAGAAAAAGGATGTTTTAGTACAATTGGGAAAATTCTGGTTGTGATTAAGTCAGGAGAATATAAGGGCAATCTGTACATGTGGAAGAAATAATTTTATATTGAGAAATTTATGAAAAGGAGCAGAGTTAGAGCTGAATCATATCATATTTGTTGATATTGTCAGTCTTGTTTTTCCCTTGTGAATACTGAGTTGGTAAAATTTGCCCTGAAGGCTGTTCACTACAAGGCTTGCAGATACAATCCCTAAAAAAATCCTTGCATAAACACCACATACATCTGTTTAATAGGAGCTCTGTCATTTAGAACTTCTTGGCTTATCTGTCATTTATAGTTTTTATTTTCAGTCCTCAAAGATGGTGTTTAGTTTTCACCTTAATAAGCATCATTACAGCAGCTTTACATAGTAAGAAGGCATATAAAGACAAGAAAGCATCAATAAGCACATTCTACATCATGCTAACAGCTGTCTTGGGATAGAGATATATGTAAAGAAAGATGGTCTAGGTGGTTAGGAGAAATTTAGGAAGGGATAGATTATAAAAGTACATGGAAGGTTTTTTTTTTTAATAAAAAATACATGTAGTAGCAAATAGCAAATATCAAATGTGTTGGCTTATTTTGCTATTGGAAGATAGTTTATAATTTACTCCTCCTTAGGTTCAATGGAACTCTTTTTTCCTCTGTGAATTACAAGCCAGTTTGTTGGCTTTATATAAATTCATCATCTATTTTGGACAATGGCAGGGAGGGAAGAAATCATTATATTAAAAAAATGTAGCAAATGCAGAAGACCCTCATGCTCTAGACTAATTGAAAAATTTAAAATAATGAAAGTCAAATATTGTATTTAATACATTGATAGAATATTGAATTCTAACATGGAACTTAACTTAGCAAAACATGGTCATACTTTGGTTAATTGTAAGTCAGCAACCCTGGGAAATTTAATCTCAGTTGCGTGTGTAGATTTTCAAAAACGCAATCCTTTGTTTCATCTACACAGTTTGAATGGAAATTGACTGTAGAAAACAGTTGCTACTTTTAAGAAGAGCAATTACTTTTTGGGACTCTTCCATTGAAGGAAATTAATTCAGCGCAATTCGCTTTTTGATCAGTATTGTGTGAGGCAAGACTGCAAGGACCATTATGCATCCTTTACAGTTGGACATGATGATCTTAAAGGTCTTTTCCAACCTAAAAGATTCTATGATTCTATACTATTTAATGTCACAGGTTTTTATTTCCCCCAGCAATTATCTTTTTGTCACAGCCTCTGTTTATTATGTACTAGAGAATTATAGCAGTGTATTTCTGTGTATGGAACCCAAGTCAGCTGCTGTAGATTTTTGTTTAATAGCAGTGCAATAATCTGAAAGTTTTGTTAGTTTCCTCTTGGGATCTGTGCACTTAGTAGGGACACACCATGGTTATTTCAGGAGAGAGATTATTTCCAGACACATTAAATATTCCTGAACAGAAGTTATTTCATACAAAATATTTGATGTCATTTTTGTCTTTGGTACGTTTTTTGTGTTTCATTAGTTCCCTGTGGGCCTTTTTGAGAAGTTTCAGCAGTACAGATTATCTTCTATAAAATTCGTTGACTAGGTTCTCAAAACGTACAGGTGGGCAACCCTGTGTTTATGAGCATGAATTCATTTATACTGGGTATTGCACAAGCATGAATTCACAGCTGTTTTTTCTAGTGCATATTCTTCTCACTGAATACAGCAGATAGTTGATAGCAGTAGAGCAATGGGATACGATTCAGATCAGCCTGGATTAATTAATGGAATTTAGTGGAGAACCTTCCTGAATTCCTGGCAAACTGCCCCAGTTCTGGACACGTTATGGGCAGTAAATCTCTACCACAGTCCACATGACAGGTTTACCTGTCTCACAATTCTGGGAAATGGGATGTGAATCAGCAGGATCTATAAGTCTCCAAGTCTTGGCATTTCCTGATCATGGGCAGTATTTTAAGATTTGCAGTCTCTAAAAATGCTACCCCTTAAGCTGGAGCAATTTTACTGTAGGATTTCTGTTGTCTGAAGCTTGGGAGAGGACAGCTTGGTTAGAGCATTCAAATTCTTGATCATGAAGGCAAGACCTTGACAATCATGGGAAGATCCTCTATAACTAGAACTTGGCTCATGGTGATAAAAGAGGGGGCCTGGAAGACATATTTCTGCTCTTTTCCAATTTAGCTGAGCATTAGTGAGTACAAGAGGCACATTTCATGTTGATAACTTCGTGGTTTAGTGCTTCTGAAATTATCAGGATTCCCATTTTCCAAAAGCTTTCCTCCATTGTAATTAGATTAAGTCTGAAAATCAGATTTTTTTTTTCCTTTCTTTTTTTTTTTTTCCTGACCAGAACTGAAAATAAGTTCAGATTGGTTTGAGTTTGTATGGTAAAAATCTGGTTTAATTCTGGTTTTGGCTACTAATTTCTAATTCAATAGGAATCCTATATATACACATGAAGTAAAGACATTCTTTCTTCTAGTATGCACACCTTTATTCAATCATTGGAAAAACTTAGAAAAAATTTGTGGGAATGAAGCTTTTTTCTATCATGCTACTTTTCTGTTACATAAATGGAATTGGTTAATACTTGGTTCCAGTGGGAAAAAATAGTTTTCTTTGATATGCCAGTTTTTGCTTCAGAACAAATAGCAGCTATTGTTTAAAAAAAATAATGGTGTAAAAAAAAACCAACAACACAACAAAGGAAAACTTTAAACTGTCCCTGTAGGCAAATGACATGAAAGACTTCTGTAAATAGCACATGTATCTACTAGCGATGAATCAAAACCTTATCAGCTTGAATCTTCTTTTGATTTGTTAACTACCATTGCGCTTCAGTGTTCAGCTTTTAACTGTATTTGAAAAATCTTTACCTTGTACTAGTTTTGTGTGCGAGTTAATCACCATCCTCTGTTGTTCAGCTTTTTACCCCACAGTGACTTAGTGATGTTTAGTTTACTTTGGCTTGAAGATGAGGAATGAAAAATTACAGGGGCAAAAATAAATGTATAGATATACTTGGTCAGATTGCACCTGTTACTGGAACGAAGACAATTTCTATCTTTATGCAGCTGGACAAAATATAACAAAATGTGTTCAATTAAGTGGCACCCTGTGGAGTCCATCTAAGGCTACCGACAATTTATTTCTTTGCCAAAGATACTGGGAAGATTATAATTGCTGTTAGGATGGTTTTTTTTTTTTTTAATTGGGAACAGCATAGATTTATTTTAGATACTCTAATCAGACAGTGATGGTTTGATCTCACTGCAAGGATTTCCAGTTGGTATTACATTACAGTTGGCACACCTGTCAGGTTTCTTTTGCTTGAAAAGAAAAAAAAACAAAAAGCCACAGTTTTTGTCCCTAAACTACCTTCCAATTCCGAAGTTCAGTTTGCTAGATTGTTACAGGCTGGTTGTACCAAGAACCAAAATAAGCCTAAGAATGCTTTCCCTAGTCAGGATTTTTCTTGGTCTCCCAAACTGCATATCTTTTTAATTTAAAGCTCTACAGTTTTAATCTGAGGTGTGCCTTTTTTTTTTTAAATTTTTTTGTGAATTTAGCTAACCAGTTTTTTCTCTGCAAAACATCAGCAATCTAAAAATGCTTTTAACAATGATAAAATACCAAGTATATAAATTTCATTAACAACCTACCTTACTCCAGAAAATTAGGTATATGAACAATTTCTACTTTAGGTTTTTTATTTGGTCTCTTCTGTAATGTAGATCCTGCAGTAATATACAACATTGTTGAACCCATTTCTGCAGTTCAGAATGCAGAAAAGCAGCTATTACTTATGTTTATTCATCAGATTTTCATGGATCCAGACTCTGGAGCTCGCTCAACAGGAGATAGTATTTAGTTTGGCAGCTTGGTGATTGACCTCTTTCTGTTGCTTATGAAGTATTTAGCCTTTTCATTCTTGTGTATTAAGGGGTCAACAGTGTACTCTAGAACTTGAAGTCCTGATATAGCATTTATTATTTCATAATTTATTTTTCTTTTCACAGGGATCACACTCTACAGCCAGCCATATGGAGGAGCCTTGCTGGATGAGGACAAAATGTGAGCAAACTCTTAAAATATATAACAGCTTCAAGGAGCAGACAACTGAAACTATTAATTCAATAAGCATGTATGTTGCAACCAATAGATGTTGTGACTTGATAGATGCAATTCGGTTCCACCCAGTGAAGCATTTTCTCTAATCTGGTGTTTATATGTCAAGTCTATTGTTTATATCAGATATGGTTGCACTATTTTGTAGAGAAAAATACTGAATTTATGCTGACTGTGCTTTGCAGAGTGTTTGTGAGCAGGTCATGACATTTTCAAACAGGTTAACTGCTTTAAATGACTGTCAAGTTTTTAAATTTTAATTTTCTGAAGAGGGGGAATATTTGCAAAAGCTTCACTTTACTATTCAGACTTTAAACACACGCTGTATTCTGTAAATCACATATAGTTTTGTAACTTAACACATCATCTTGATCCTGTTCTCTAATTGGATGTTTACAGTGTACAAACATGGTGTTTGCAAAAGAGGATTAAAGTAGTAATGTCTAGCGTGTTTTGGTAAGAAGTTGGCCTTGAAAATGTTTGGGTTTGGTGAGGATTTTTTTCCCCACTGTGTTTTCATTATGCTATTTTGCTTTGTACCCTAGAATGGAGAATGTTCGTCAGTGTGGGGTAGCACTGTGCATCATGCTGGGATTCTCTATCCTTACCGCATCCATTGGAAGTGCCATAGTGAAAGACAGAGTATCTGGCACAAAACGCTTGCAGCACATCACAGGCCTGGGTTACAAAACTTATTGGCTTGCTAACTTCTGCTGTGATATGGTATGTATCACGTAGGGCAGCATGTGTTCAGGTGTAAATTTTTAACTAGTTTGTCATAAATGAGCAAAAGGAGATATGGTCCCAAGACAGGTGAATAGGATTTGAATTGTGCAGAGCAGCAGCTCTTGGCTATCATGTTAACAGGCATTGGGACACCATTCTTACTTTAACAGATAAAATTCTTTAAGGCAGGGATTGTGTTCTTAGTTTTCCAAAGTTGAATTGCAAGGTAAAGCATAGGCTAGCTTTAGGTACCTACACTGTTTTACAAATAAAAGGAAGTTGGCTAATCAACCTAGGCAGAGAAAATCTTCCACATAGCAGTTCATAGCAGGAGTTTCTGTTTTTTGAGTTGGCACTGGTAAAATCTTTCAGATTATTGGAGAAGCCTGAAGATATTAGTCAGCTACTTTAAAGGCATAATTATGTAGTCTGTTGGTAGGTAATATGAGAGATACCCATAACTGGTACTTTTTATATCTGGCAAGATAGACAGTAGAAAATATTATTTATGAATTCACATACACAGAATAACTTAGACCAGAAACAGGTGAAATCTCGGTCCTGAACGTTTATTTTTCTCATACACAGTAATTTCTACCATTGTTAGCATTACAAATAGTATTGTCTGCATGCAGTTCATTAACAGATCTGAAAATCTTCTCTTCTTTTGAAAATATCACAACAGTTATTATTTTTCCCTAAATCTTACCCTTTTAATCAAATGTAAAGACAGAAATGCCACTGAGACCTGACTTTGGCAGGTTGGATTTAGGCCAATATAGTTAAATGAAATAGGAATTTTTGCTTACCTTCTTCAAGCCCGAGAAGTTGATTTTTGTTCAGGGTAATAAGCAAAGGTGGTGAAATAGAATTAACTTTCTCAAGTCACTTCTAGTGCCCGGTCACTGATTTTTCATCAGCTGTGTAATGGGAGCTCATTTGGATTCCATTTAAGCATGAATTCCACAGATTATCCTCAAATATCTTTTTCAAAGGTGACTCCTTAAAAATTAAAATTAAAAAATTCTCAATTATATATGTGTATATATATATACCTATGTGTGTGTGTAAGGCATACGTATATGTCCCTTACTGAAAGGCTTTTTCATAATTCACTTGTGACGAGGCTTGCTATAGTATTAGTTGAGTGTTTGGCAGGAATTTGAGATTAGGTCATCTACTTCTGGGAAAGGCATAGAATCACTGTTTTTAAAGAACTAGGGTGCTGTGTGTTGATAGTTCACTTCTCAAAGAAGGTGTTTTGGATTGGGAGATAGGTTTCAGATGCAATAGCAAACAATTGGATTCACCTGGGTTATTCAAAAGTAAAAAGATTCTTGGCCCTAGATAAGGGACATAAACTTTCTGCACCTTGCTTAACACACTGGGTCATGGAAGGAAGGGCTGGGATCTAGCCTAGGCAACACAACCATGAACTAGCCTGGTCAGGAACAGAGATTTTTTGGAACACTCTCTGTTCTCATTCAGACTATTCTAAATCTGAAACATTAGAGCTTCACCCATTCATGCTTGAAATCAGGATTTTCACACTTGAGCAAGCTTGAAGTAAGAGCACGTTCCAAACATTATTTACTTGGCCAGTCAATCTTTGTATTCCTTTTTCTGCTGTGTCAGATAAGAGGGCTTAGTTAAAAACTCAGTCCCTCATCTTTCAGTTTCTCCTTGTGCAGCAAAGTCAACTCCTCATTATTTTCTGCCCATCTCTTCCTTTCAAAATGTTCTCACAAATTCAGCACAGTACTGCATGATCAATCATGATCTGGGAAAGAACAGACACTGCTTTAAATGCTAATTGTGCTGCAGATCATCTAGGGAGACTGAACACATGAATATATGAACTGTCAAATTTGAAATCCCTCTACATATTTCAAGTATTACAGGCTGTGTCCTGTATTATTGGTAGCATAATCTTTACTAGACCTGCAGAAGTATTTGATTTATGAAATTGCTGTTATGAGAATCAGCCTGTTCTTATTGTATTTATACATGTGAATGGTATTCTTTGCTATGTTCAACAAATGGAAAACATGTAAGTATTAAGAAAATTTCATAACAAATAGAGACGTTTTGTTCAGATTAAACTTGTGTCACTAGAGGTGCAAAATGAAGGTTATTTTATTTGTGCATGCCCAACTTTTATAACACACCATGCTTTCAGGTAATATTTCTAATAGTATTTAATGTTTAAAGTTATTTATTTATTTCTAGAAAAAAGTCCCAGGTCCATTGAAACATACTGGGACTCAGATGCTTTATGACTTCTCTACCACATTTTTTAAACAGCTTCAGGATTACTGAAACCTAAATCTGTGGACTGGTATGGTATGATATTTGTACATGGCACTGAATAAGGTACACTGTGAATAAGATGAGAACATTACATTTTTCTACATTTCACTCCGTTGCCCTTCTCTTAAAAAAATGTCTGTCTTCTCATTGGCAAAGAAGTGATGCTCTCTAGTTTAATTTTGAACAGGTTTGCTTTGTACTTCAGTATAAAAGTCCAATTTTAACAGTAAGGATGTTGTTCTTCTACACTGAATAGCTAGACCTTGATTTGTTGCCTCTATTGCAGTTGCATCTCAGAATCTCAGTTATATTAGAATAAGGTTAAATATTATATAAGCAGCAATGGAGGCAGTCACTGCCCTAACAAGCTCAGCTGCAATGCACAGAGCAGGCAGACACTAAGAATGGAACTGAGGACATGTTTTCACATCTTGCCATTGCTAGTTGCAAGCAGAATGTGTCTCTCTTGAATACTTGGATATGAATCCCCTGTACCAATCACATCCTCCCCCCCTTAAGTATTTGGTTACCATTATGTCAAGAGACTAAATGGAGAAACTGCTTTCCCTGTTGCCTAATGGCTGTAACTCTTCTAAATATTATGTCTGTTCCCATTAAAAGTTGTCATTTGCTTCATCAGCACACATGGTCCTTCATTAAAGTCTCTTTTAAAATTGTATCCTTTCTATTCTCCTGTGACTGAAGCACCAATCAGTGAAACTGCTATTTCTGAATCTGTATTCACAGTATAATTTGATGTTTTGGAGCAATAGTCCCATACGGACTCATTATCTGGAAGAGATAGCTTGTTAAATGGATGTATTGGAAAGGTCAATAAAAATGGAATTAAGGGGAATATTCTGTAGTCGGATTTTATTTTAGCAGGCTGTTTCATGTATATATGTGTAAGAGTGGCAGTTCACAGCAAGTGTGGACTATGAAATCTCATAGCTCTTCTGCCTAATTCTTCCTAATTTATAGTGTAATTATATTGCAAATATGGAAAAGTTAATTTATATACCCCTTCTACACTAATTAAGTAAGACCAGTAAGAGATGTTCACCTGCTAAGTGCCCTTTTTCTTCTGTTTCTAGCTGTTTTACATGGTTCCAGTCACGCTGTGTGTTGGTGTTATTAGTGCCTTCCAGCTATCAGCCTTCACTTTCCGAAAGAACTTGGCAGCCACTGTTCTCCTGCTGATACTCTTTGGGTACGGTATTGGAAATGCAACTATGGAATTATAGCTTGTAAGAAGCAAACAGAAATCTTTAGACTTGGTTTGCACCTGCTGCTGGATGCATGATTTTCTCTCTTTGGAAATGATTATGATTCAGCAAAAGATAGTGAGAAAACAGGCTGAAACATGAGTTTGAAAGTTCCGTGGAGAAGGTGGAGGGAGATTTGTTCAAGCATTGGAAAAAAATGAAACAAAACAAAACAAAACCAAAAAACAGAAAGAAAAAAAAAAGACTGGAAATGTCTAAGAAAATACTCAGCCTGTATAACAATCATTTGCTGTTAGAAATTGATTATATGTTATCTTCCAGAAAATGAGGGAATAATAACATAGGTCAGAATTTCAGTGCTTAGCTGTACAGAGTATCATCAAGAAGGTAAGAAGTGTTTGTTTTTTATTACAGTTCTACCCATTTTCTGTAATTCTGTAATTTTACAGAGCTCCAGGTATTTTTATTTCCAATGAGAAGTCTGTCCAATGTGGAGTACTGGGCTGGCTGGAGATTTGTCTCCAAAATCATACTGTGAGAGAGGAAAGTCCTCTCATGTCACTCCTTTGCTTAGTTTCATGTGAAAAAACAGTTATAAAAAGTGAAAATAACTGGTTAAATGGAGGATTGATTCCTCTATAGAAATAAGCCCGTTGAGCCCTGGACTCAGTCAAACTAATGGTCTGCCTGTTCTGTTCCTTTAACTCTTCCCATGTGCAGTCCCAGGTGATGTGAGAAATGCTCAAGATGAATAGTTACAGGATAAGCATTCTGAGAAGAAGTTTCTTCCTTATCTCAAGTGACTAATTGTTGCTATCTTTCTAGGGGAGAATGCACATCTTATGAGACAGGTGTTTAGATAATGAAATATAACTGCTCCATGGGAGAATCACAGGGAAGGAAAGTAAAAAGGACCTTCTGCAAGATCAGGTCATGTTCCATTCCAGGAAGAGTCTCAGATAAACACTTCAAAAAAAAAATCTTACTGTATTTCATCTTGAAACTGCTTTCAAGATCTCATGCCTCCAGCAAATCCTTTTTCTGGAAAACTGTTTCAGTATCTCCATAGCTGGATGTATTCTTTGAAATTCCAGCCTGAGTTTATCTGGAGCCATACTTCATAATTCTTCCTCATCAAACACCTTTTGCAAGCCCAAACAAGCCAAGTCTCTTGTAAAAAGGTCTTCCTATTCCCTGGATAATTCTATTTATCATTTTTCCCTATAACTCCAGTTTGAGCTCATCTTTCTTGGGCATGAGTGGCCAGACTAGTATGTAATATTATAGAGGTCATGATGCCAGGATCTTGTAAATAACTCAGATGAAGCATCCACAGTTAATACTTTTCTCCTCTCTGTATCAATCTCTTCCTCCTCCTTCCTTCTGCACTACTACCAACTGATTTCTTCAGGTTAAAGGCAGGTATTCTTATCAGTCTTCGTGCAAAGGCTTTACGCTGTTAAATCTCATCCTTGTGGTGTTTTGGTTTTTTTGTTTTGTTTTTTTGGTTTTTTTTTTTTAATTTTACGACTGTTGTATCTTTCTTGTAAACCAGTTTCTGTGACCCTAGTGTAAGAATAGCCCTCTATAGAGATCTTAGTCAAGCAGCAAATGAACCATACAGTACATACTCACATGTCTGCTGGAGTCATGATGTGTTTTCTGTGGTGTGCTTTAGGCTTTGGTCCTGCCTACAGTGTACTACTAAATGCCCGGTGCTAAGAGTTATGCTGGCATTTTTTTAACCAAAATGTTGAGTTAAAGTTTGGGTATTTCAGAAGAAACTAGCGCAGACTGAAAAGCTGGACTGTCTTCTAAAAATTTTTTTGTTGACTGCAGATGCAGCGTAATCATCTCAGCATAATCCCTCCTGCACTGTTCAGCTTTGGCTGACATAACAGATATTGTAGTGATTTTTAACAAGAAGGTCTATGTATTCAATGTGTATTAACATGTATTAAATATATAATAACTGTCAGTCAGTAAATTTAACATGTCTCAAAGACACTGACAAGTTTTAGAGTTGCCACTCTTCCTATTCTAACCTTTACTCAGCCTAACTACACAGCAAATGTGATGAAGCCTATTGTGGTCATTTTATCCTTCCCCACTACTGTGCATGTAATTTTAATTTATCTGCATTCTATAATGCATTTTTTCCTTTTAAAATTTTATTTTTCTCTTCAGGTACACTTGTGCAGCATTTCTGATCTATAATAGAGATAAAAATAGCCCAGTCATATGAAAAAGTTAAGCTATGTGCCAGAAGGGGGTGTGCTTGAAAGAAAAAACAACAATTTCCTAGTGTGCTACTTTAAAACTGATTTCCTTTAAAAATACAATGGTCTCTTAACTAAACTGCATTTTTTCCTCTTTTAGCTGAGAGCAGAAGTGTTTTATAGTTCAACTGCTTAAGCACTTTTGTCCAAAATGCTCTATCTTTGATATTCACAAAATAAAAAATTAGAGCTGAAGCTGAAGGAAAAGAAAGAGTTAGGACAGAAACGTAGGCGGGACTGGCAGCTACTTTAAAGACTGCATTTGAACATCATACAACTTTAGTATTCTGAAAGTCTTACTCATTTCTTAGCAGCTATAAGCACACAAACTTTTGCTTTCATTTACAGCAGAGTAACAGCACTCTAAATCATGTCTCTTTCCTGAGCTGTTTCCAAGGATGAACTTTTGTATTTACGGTATTGTAATTCAGAGCAAAATTTAGAGCAGTGATTTTGGTATGTGCATGAAGGGAAGAAAAGATTGTATGACTAAAAATAGCAACAGGATGCTGAAAAGCATAGTGTGATCTTGAATACTTACAATCTTCATTTGAGACCCAAGCATTATGTCTTTTAACCTTCCTGTAAACTGAGGATAACATCACTATTACTTCACAGCAGGATTTGAAATTTTGTTTCTTAAGGTAAAGGATTTTGGCATTCATAGATGAAAAAAGTTCAGCTGTAAAGTACACAATACTGAATTTAAAAGGGACTTTTATGGCTCATAATCTAAACTACTGTTTAATGCAATGAAGAAGTGAATTCACAGATTTTTTGGCTAGTTGCTCTTTCATTGAGCTCACTATTAAACAACTATATACACACATAGTAATACTATATAAGAAGTATTTATATATACAACTACATATATACACTGTACATATATATTTATCATTATGCAATGGTGTATGCTGATACCTATGCTCCTGCAGTCTATATACTGTTTGTCTGATAGATATGTCTTGTGTTATGTTGAACAGAAAATAAATTTCCTTTACATGACATTCATGCTCATCAAATTGCCTGGGCATTTTTTTAGTCTGGCTAGACCTATCTTCCTCTTTATAAAAAATATGACTGCTCCATTTTGGATAGGCGTCATTTGACTTGCGAGGATGGAGGGTGCCTTCCCTCATCCTTTAAAGATTTGTATTGAAAATGATGTAGCCATGGACATGCTGGCTTATCATCCTTGTGCTATGAAGTAACTATGCACTCATTTTTGACGGCTACTACTCTACTAACTGATAACCTGTTTCAGGTAATAACAATGCTAACATGATCTCTGGCAAATTTGAGTTCGCAGATATCACTGGCACAAATATTACTTCCAGTTCAAGGATTAATGATTTTTTCCTTCTTTTTTTTCCCCTTTCTTTTTTTCTTCTCCGTTTGCTTACTCTCTCCTTCCTTTTTTGTTCTTTTTTCTTTCTATGAAAGCCTCTAAGAAAAGCTGGTTGCTCAGCATCCATGATTTAAGCTTCAAATATTTGATTTTAATTTTGTCTCTGTGTAAGAAGCTTCTTAAGATGCCTGGTTTTACAATCATTCAGAAATTGGGGTTGTGAGCTTTCTGGAACAGAGGAAGTAAATATATGCAGCTGATATATGCAAAAATGGGTCATATCTGCCCATCACATGGCAGTAGCTATGTTTACATCTATTTTTGATAAAGAAAACATATCTCAAATTTGTTCTTTTTGTTCAGTTAGTCAAAAGAGTTGTTTGCAACTTAAAAATAAGGAGTAGGTATTGTTTTATTTCCTAGTATGATAATGGCCTTTTTTTTTGTTTTTTGTTGAGGCCAAAACATAACTTTGTTTGTTTTGTTTGTTTTGTTTCTTTGTTTCTTTTTGTTTCTTTAAACTTTCAGCTATGCAACTTTACCGTGGATGTATCTTGTATCCAGATTCTTTTCAAGTTCAGATGTAGCTTTTATATCTTACATCTCCTTAAATTTTGTCTTTGGCCTATGTACCATGCTGGTGACTCTCTTACCTCGTTTATTAACTATAATTTCCAAAGTGCAGGTCAGTATATAACTTTTGCTTTATATTACTCATAAGTGAGATGTATGCACACACGTGCATGCGTCTATATGTTTGTATGTATATATATTTATGTTTATGCATATGCACAGACAATATTTTTTCCAGCAAAGAAACATGTGTGTTAAACATTCATGATTTTTCTGTCCTAATGTATACTGTATTGCTTGTTACCATCTTGAATTTTAACTTGTTTATAACAGCAACAAAAAAAAAGCTCTGTAATAATGGAAAAACAGCCTTAATTGAAACCTTGACATTTTTCAGACCATTAAGTTGTAATTGGCACATAATGGGAGCTGTTTTGGTCCGTTGAATAGATTATATGCATTATAAAATAATATATGAATAATACTGACAAAAGAGATAAGCCGCATATTCCTAGGATCTGTAATGCACTATATGAACAGTAATATGCATTCTCACTCCATGTATGTAATTTTCATTAGTCATAATGGCAACTTGATAGAGAGGAGATCCAGGATGTGTATGAATATCTATGCATGTACCAGGTCAAAAACTTGATGTTTGAAGTCAAATCTGGATTACATGTCACTCAAGTTTGGAGGCAGATTTGGTGTTGACTTGGGTTTAAGTTGGTGATTTAGAATTAACAGCATTCAAATATTAAAATTTTAAGAAAATAGAATTCATGGCCACATGTGTTTTGTTACCATCTATGAACCTCAACTAAAATCAGAATCCCATGGCCCTAGGCACTCCAAAATACAGTAAGAGATAAACCTTGCCCCAAAATAGTTCACAATATGCTCTTCTGAAATCAGTTCACCTTGAGTGAGATGTGAATGCTGTATCCAGCTTTGTAAGTGTGCTTAATATGCTGTTGGAGAAAAGTAATTTTTTTTCCTTTTTTTTCCCTCTCTCCCCCCCGCCCCCGCTTGCTGAATCTTAATACAGAGTTTTCAGAATATCTACAATATCCTCAAATGGGTGTTCATCTTGTTCCCACAATTCTGCTTAGGCCAGGGTTTAATAGAACTTTCATACAATCAGATCAAGTTTGACCTGACCAGCAACTTTGGAATAGATTCCTATGTGAGCCCCTTTGAGATGAATTTCCTGGGCTGGATTTTTGTGGAAATGGCCGTGCAGGGAACACTACTTCTTCTTTTACGGCTTTTTCTTCATTGGGATTTCCTTCAGAAACCAAGGTGTGTTACCATTTGTATTCTGCCATAGTGGACACTGAGTTAATTTTTAAAGAAATAAAATAGTGGATTCCTTTGAAGACCCAAAGATAAATACTTCTGATAACGTGGTGTACCTGAATTAGTGGAAACTGCATGAAAAATACAAGTAGTTGCCATTTCCCTTGAATTCTGCTGAGGTTTGATCACTAAGCTTTAAGGGATTGCAACGAGTGAAATAAAACGGAGTTATCCAGAGTACAGCAATGTCCAATTTGCCATGTATCATCTTCTGTTTTAGGGGTCAGTGTTCAATTAACAGCATGGTCAGCCCTTCAGAAGATGTTGATGTAGAAATGGAGCGACAGCGACTCTTTGGTGGAAGAACTGTTAATGATGTTCTCCTTCTGTACAACCTCAGGAAGTGTTATGGAGGTTTCAGTAAGAAGAATACAGCTGTGGAAAGCATAAGCTTGGGAATACCTAGGGGAGAGGTAAAGAGGTCTTTTTTTTCCTTTCAGAAAAGAACACTTCATTCTGAGCAATTGTTCAGACATACTCAGGATGTCTACAGTCAAAGATCTGTAGACTTAGCAGCAGAACAATTTCAATTGTAATAATTTCTGAAAAATCAATAACTGGACAAAAGCTGAAGATCTGGTGGTGTTTAAGAAGCAACAGTTCGCTTATTTTTTGGGTTACATATTCATCAGTCTTAATTTTTTCTTCTTGCTTATCTTTACCAAGTTACTGTTTTATAGGCTAGCATAAGAAAACAAGTAGGTAGCATAGCAGTTCAATGTCCAAAGGGAAAGCAAAGAATACCTATGTCAATTGTAAACTGTGGACTGAATCCTGAATTTGTCACCAAGGCAAACTTGTAATTCCCATGCTGAAATCATCACAGGGTATTTTAATATGGCATATAATATACTAATATACCATTTTAATAAACTGAAATTTAGCACTGAACGTGGTAATCCTAAAGATTTCAGAACAGCATTTATTTGGGTTGGTTTGGATTTTTTTCCATGATTTTGATGCTTTGGGGAATTGCAGATATTAATTTCAAAAATACAGATAAGGAAAAGACTTTTCTTGATTGCTAATAGAAAATTGGAAAATATGAGAAACTAGTGCGCGGCAGTGCAGGTCTGGTGACATCCTACCAGTTATAGATCAGTTGTTGGGTAACTGGGGTAACCAGGAGGATTTAGTGCTGATAAAAGCCTATTTATTGATAAAGTAGTTCATGAAACAAGTATTTTAAAAGTTATGAAGTGCTATAAGTAGACTTAATATGAATCCTGTCCTAGCTTAAGCATATATTCATTGCAGCTAGTGGCCTGAAATAACTGTTCAGAGTCAGTGTGTGTGTCTTGGCTGTTCAGTGTTCATTTACTTTTACAGCGTGAAGCAGCTCATGAGAAACTGAGAAATATTGACTCTATAGAGTGGCAGTCAGGGCTCTTGAGGTCCTCAGGTTCAAATCTAGCATTTACTAATAATATGGATAAATAATGCATTTAGTTACTGGGCAGGGTTTTAAGTAGAGGGCTAGAACCCTAAATAAGTTACTTCTAGGAATTAGCGGGTAATCAAAATATTCTATATATGGGGTTTTTTTAAATTTATTTTCTGTGGGAAAGGGAATTTGCACATGCAATATATCCATATACAGTATCTTACAGACATATGATAGGAGATATGAAAAGGAGAGAAACTATTGAAGAATTAATATTACTTATTTCTTTCAGCATAGCAGATTGATTGTTTTTGTTCGGTTTTTTTTTTGTTGTTTTTTTTGGTTTTTTTTTGTTTTTTTTTAAATCTCTGTTAGTGTTTTGGACTCCTGGGAACAAATGGAGCTGGGAAAAGCACAACATTTAAGATGCTGACTGGAGATATCATCCCATCTGCAGGACGTGCTGTTATCAGGACTCCTACAGGGTAAATAACACAGGGTTTGATCAGAATAGTGCTAATTGATAATGTTAATGATCAAAGACTCAGAACATCTTCAGTCCTTTATACTGTACTCTGAGGACCTTTTTTGTTCACTTTTAAATGTATATTGCTTTGCTGCTGTTAAGTCTCTGCGGGAAAGCATTTTAGCATTATTTAATTCCGTCTGACAGCTCTGTTAATTGAGAATAAACTTGTCTGGTAGCAAAAGAGTAGACTCTAGGAAGTCTTAGCATACAGCCTTTTAAAATTGTAACAAAAGTCTTAACATACTGTATGTCCAGATGCACGGACATATATCCCCCATACTAGTGCTGCACTGAAAGGTTTCCAGGCTTAGGCTGATGAGCAGTGCTTCAAGTGAATAATTTTAAAATGTTTTCTGACACTTGTGTCCTTCAGAGTAGTTAATTAATTATTTGATCAATATGCTATGTAATTAGGATAGGAGGTAGTGTTGGTGATATTGAGGCTAACTTTGATGGAGTGATAAGTGAATAATGGACTTTTTGGGTTAGATGTAACCAACATTTACCGTTTTTCCCAGAAAAATTGGAGGAGAAGTAAAGTTACTTAGTCAGGCCAAAGTAAAATGTATATGTGCATATATAAATGTATTTTGGGCTAGTTAACAATTTTAAAACTTCTCTTTTCCTAAATGATGTCTATTTCAAAATATGTATTATGGAGAAGGACAGGTGAAGCGTTTAATTCAGAAAATTTTTAAAGGAAGCATTTTGGAATTTCCAAAATGACAAGTTACCTTTCTTTGTTTTAGAAATTAAATGCTTTCATAGGTCAGTATTTCCTCACTTCTTTACAGAGATAATGATCAGCAGATTTAACTTCAAAATGTAAGTAGTTCCAGTCATTGCAAAATTCAGTTTTCTAGAAAGTTTAGACTTCTTTTGAAATGGGTACCATCACCACTACTAAACATGATTTTACTTAAGTGTATTTTGTTTGCTTTTTTTTTCATTATCATAGAATAGTTTTGGTTGGAAGGGGCCTCTAAACATCATTTAGTCTGACCCCCCTGCAATGAGCAGGGACATCTTCAACTAGATCAGGTTGCTCAGAGCTCCGTCCTACCTGACCTTGAATGTTTCCAGGGATGGGGCATCTACCACCTCTCTGGGCAACCTGTTCCAGTGTTTCACCACCCTCATCATAAAAATATTCTCCTTATACCTAATCTGAATCTACCCTCTTTTAGTTTAAAACCATTACCCCTTGTCCTATCACAACAGGCCCTAACATCATGGCAGTTGCTTTTCAGATAACAACATTAGAGTTTAAATGGGTTCTCTTCAAGAAATTACATAGATCCAGACAGAGTATCTTACGTTTACCAAAAATGTGAAGAACATAAAAATCTTTTACCTGGTGGTATGTAGTTATTGATATGAATTCTACTCTGAGCTCTGGTACAATGTATCTCCAAAGACACTGTATGGACAAGATCCAGAAGTTGCAAGAGAAATTTTCCGTATAGATGGCCCCTAGGTGAAACATCCAAATGTCCAGGATGCTGCATTCATTAAGGAAGCCCAAAAAGAAGAGATAGAAGAAAAACATTTTAGGGAAAAAAGTTCTTAGCTTCTCTATTATGTGCCGGAAATGCTACCTGTTTAGGTCTGACAGCTGTTTTAATGAGCGTAGGTAAGTTCTGTCAGGGAAGCGGTCTTGAAGACTCCTTTAGGGTTACCTTTGCTTCTGTTGCATACTCCTGCTAGTCACCCGCTGACTTTGCATGTATGCTACTCTTCTGCCTTGCAACTATCAAAGTTTCTATATTGTTTCACCTATATGCAGCCTTCATTCTCTGGTAGCAGGATATTTTTCAATTTGTGGTCACTTAGGATTTCACATGAAACACAAGTAAAACTTCATGAATTCATAAGACAACCAAGCTAATGACACAAGACACATCCACATGATTCTGTGATCAAAGTCTCTGTTCCAGGCTCAGACAGAGCACGCCTACTACTGTGCCAAGTTTGTGCCTGTATCAGAAGAACAGAGCCATTTCAAATAGCTAGGGAGATGGCCACAACAAAACAAAGAGCTAGTAACTAACAGCAGTGAAAAGGTGAGGGACAGCTGCTTAAATTCACATCTGTAACTTCTTGTGTGAGTAATTCTACTCAGTTCAGGGAAGAGACTGACAGAAGAACGTACATCTCCACTGAAGTTGGTTTAATCCATCAAGTTAAACGGCAAGTTCCTAGCACATTAGGAATGCAGCACCAGAAAGACCAGGCCGGCCATAGGGAACTGAAGTGTGTATGGCATATACATGCTCCTTTTGCTTTGAAACAACAGAAGTGTTGACACAGTCACTTCTAGAAATTACTTCTGACTATGTTTCAAGTACCAGTAACCAGCTTGCAGCTTAGTCACAGTAGGTACTGTGGGCTCAGTGCATACTCATACTCAGCTATCCAGTGCTAATTTGTTGTACCACCAGGCCTGCTGCGATGGAGTGCAGGGTGGAGGGCTGTCATGTGACACTGAGAAGATAGTCCTTATGTTTCTCCTCTTGGTGCGTGTTCCTTTGTCCTAATTCCTCTCTGTGTAGACAAGACCTATTAATATTCTGAGGTATATTTACATGCTCTGCTACTACACTGTCATTCAACTGTGTTGCTTTTAGTGCCACGCTGAATGTGTGCTGCTACTGTTCTTAGTCATTATATTTCATAACAACTTTTTTTTCAAGGGATGCAGTGTAAAAATAATTTGATAACAAAGAACTAAAATGACCATCAAATAATTGTTATTCATGAAGAAGGAATGGCGAAAGAGATTTTGGAAAAATGATTCTTAAGAGACTAAGAAGTGATATGAGTGAGGCTTTACAATAGTGATAGAGACTTTTAGATGGTTGTTTTCATTTATAATTTCGCTGAACAGAAGACAAAAATTTTCAGACATTAAGCAACAGCAGCAATAACAATAACAAAAGTGATTTAAAATTAGGTAAAAATTAACATTTGGTGTTCTTTGGAACTGGTGGAATGCTTTGTACCAGGATATCATGGAGGTCAGAAGTTTGGCATGAGTCTGAAGAGGATCTGAGATTTACAGAAATAAAATAATCTGTAATAACTTTTGATAAGATATTGCCCTCAAGGCAGTATTTAAGCTCCCAGGTTTTGTTTGGATTTTGAGGGGTACTTTTCTATAGATTTTAATGGGATTTGCCTTTGGTCCCACCTGTGCATTCATGGATTGCATATGGCTTTCTCTATACAACATGGTACCAATCTGTATTTGGGCAAACGATTTGGTCTGGTGTGACAATTCCAAAATCCTAATATCCACTTGAAAGCAAATATAAAGTTATAAGAATATGTTTCATCATAACATATATTGTCACTAACACTATGTTTATTGACTACATGACTTATTTTTTCAGAACTCCTAGATAACTTTTCAAAAAATCACAAAACAATTTAACAACGCCTATATTCCTTTTACTAGACATGTTATGTGCCTGTGACTAAACAGTCAGAAATTCTTCTGAGGCCAACTTTAGTATGCTACTGGCATTTAACAATAGGTTAAATGCTCTCCCTGCATATCATTTGTGCTACTTTCATTTCCTCCACTGTGTTTTATAAATCCAACATGAAAGTATACTTTAAGATGCTATTTACCATATAACTGGTTTAAAGAAAAACAAACAAACAATAACAACAAAAAACCATCCCAAACCCCAAACAAAAGTGTCTCTGTGAGGCAGGTGCACTGAAAACAGCCTTGAATTTTACGGGACAGCTTTTGCACCTTTGGACAACACAGGGGACTGGGAATGGAAGATGAGCTTTTTCAAAAGTGCGTGTTGAATTGCAAAGTAGACTTTTGGGAAGTTCAGCCTAAAACACCTTGGAGATCCATGGGCTTATACAGAAAGAGCCTCACACATTGATAATCAAGTTGTATTCAGGGAACTCCTGCTAGATTCTCAAAAAAAATAAGAAAAACGTACTTCTGAGAGGCAGCTGCCTTTTTAACAGGGCAGAAGAGCAGATTCACGACATCTTCAAGTACTTCTAAAAGATTTGTTGGCCCCTAGGTTTTTTGTTTGTTGAATGTTTAATACAGCAAAAAGGAGCTTATCGCTAAGAACCTGAGAGAAAACTGTGACTGTTTTCATAACAAAAGCTTGCTAAAATGCATAAAAGCTAGATGTTATGTAACAGTTTTCAATATCACTGAGATTCCTAAGACCGGCTGTT